ATATAACTGAAACTAGCTAACTTACCAAGGATAAGATCAGGTTACAATAGTATCTATCTTACATATGTACATCGTCAGTTGGTATTCGAACCTCAAAAGAAGAGCACATGTATGGCACCCGTGTTTGATATCTATAGAGGGTTCTTGCTCCTGTCTCTGCCAGCCGGCTAATCGGTATCATTCCGGTTTCCTCTGCGCAGAGCTATCATACTCATGAAGCACTGCTATTTCAAAGTCATGTAAACCTCAGCAGTTTTTAATTGTTTTTTCCGGGTTGAAACCTTCCAGTGAAGATATTCCTGGAATAGGCTTATAAATCTGTCGCACGGAGAAATCGATATACTTAAGTATGAACAATGAGCGTAATAGTACCCATGTTAGTTACATATCATATGTAAGTACAGTAATTTATCTAGAATTTTGGTCTGGTACGAAAAGCTTAAGAAATTTAAAGAAATGATTGAGCATACGCTTTGAGGAATGGACTCTGGCAACTTGTGAGAGATAGGTCGATTCGCCGTCCTGTTATTGCATCATTCACGTCCATAGGTTGCAGGCATCATGCTCTTAGGCAACGACATTAATGGAGACAGTTAAACGTTACATAATAACACCTAAAGTTTCCCTTCCGATTATTTAAATTCAATAGCATCTTCTTGGCGACTGCTTGTATTTCTCCTTGAGCTCGGTCTTAAATTGTCTGAAATTGAGCCTATTCCTGTCGAGGTCCTTATCTTTCTCCTTATGGAAGTCGCCAGACCGCTTGAGTCCTCGATGAATGACGAATGCGTTATTAAGCACGGCAAACGAATAACCTGCCACATGCATTTCGCACGCCTGGCTGATCCGATTGAAACCATACTGTCGAAAACGCTCATCGTAGAGTGGGACAGAATTGTGCGCTATGTAGAATGGCTCCCAGGGATCCTTCCAGCTTACCTGAGGTTGGAAAATTGAAAAAAGTATTTATTGAACCTTAACCTTCCTAGTGTCATAGCTATGTTCCCTGTCTACAGCAGTAGAACGTACGTAATCGATTTGCAATAAAGCTAGTATTGACACAGACATTGCAAATGTACAAGTATGCAACACCAAATGCACATAGCACATCAATAAACTTATCTGCATAAACTGAAATGTGCAGTTAGTTAAATTTCCGATTCTCATTTGTCTACCTTTTCCTTATTCATTTCTCAAAAGCTCTTATCTTTGTAGTATATGTCGCATAGCAGGTACGCTATATATAGTGTGTACCTTTCGCATCGTAAGGTCGCCAGGCTAGTGTTCTTAAAATCAACTCATTTCCCAACATTGCATGTTAATGTTTGATACTCTCAATATGCTGTTGTATCGTTTGTCCATTTTATTATGCGGCTTACCTGATACAAAACCTCAAGTTTATTATCAGGAGTAAGTGGGGCTTTTGTCCACGCTTCATAGTCGGTATGCTTATGGCATTTATGGCACAGTTCGGCATAAAATGGTCGCGCAACTCCACGTTCAAGCAGCCCCAATAGTTCCGCTTTGTTACGTGGCAGTACAATATCTTCGACTGTCTCAAATGCTGGCACTACGAAGGCTTCCTGATGATCGGCCCGCGAGAATAAGGAATTCTCCTTTGCGTATGTTAGAAACGAATCATGAAGGCCTGCAAGAACATGGTGATCCTATTCAGTTAGATTCGCAGCTTTTACCGAATTACACATCCAGATTTGCTCTGAAGGCATAACCTTTTAAAGGGCCAAGCAATCTTTTTTTCGAGTATGAGTGTTTTTTCACTTCCTGTTTTCATAGTGGCTTCCTCGCCCCTCTTGGGCCCGAGTAAACTTGACGACTATTACTACGATAGTATTCTAACGTTGTAATTTCATTGAGTTGAAGGAAATGTCCTTTGAAAGCCGCCTATTGGTTGAGACTCTGTTGAATTTTAAACAGACACTTCTTCCTTCTTGTCATTATGCAATACCCGCCACGTAAATTTATTTATCAATAGGTGGTCGGATCCGGGCCTCTCGTTACCATGCCGCCATCGTATTTGACAACAGCTTGCGTGATTTAGATTTTTGTGTTCGTGTTCGTTCTCAATGAAAAGATCCTGACTCTCTGTTGATTATGTCCCTTGACGACCAGTCGTGGGGCCGTCCTAATCAAGGACACATTCAAAGGCCATGCAGCATGTGGAAGCCCCCCGTTCGTCTCAGACCCACACACTTTACAATGCCAAAAAAAGCAGAGTAGCCAAATAAACACTAGTCTCGCATTAAAACCGTATACTGTATGACCCATCCTGTATGTAGTGATCTGCTTTAGCTGATATGGAGTGTATAGCTTCCTGAGTACTTTGCATGCCGTACCTGTTAGCTCCTGATTGGATCGCTCGATGGAGCATTGTCTTAGATCTTTGAAGATTATTACCAGCATGAGCAGGTCGCTGGATACCAAAAAAAAAACAGTTACTTTGCAAAATAGCCTGTATGTAATTTTTTATTATTACAATTATGTTTTATGATTAAAGTAACTACGATGTGACATGCTTTGTTTAGCCCCACTTACTGCGTGATTATTTTTACGCGCACGTAATGGGCAACTACAAATTAGACTTATCTTAACTTCTAGAAATAAACAACATAAACTGTTTATACTCTTGCTTTGAATAAGATCGAGAAACATTCTCCCTATTTAAAATAAGAATCCAATAAGGTCATTAGTGGTTGAAACGTAAAGCACCACTGCTGTTTTCTATACTTTCCTAGCCAACAGTGTATAGTCAACCACTATCAATTACTAAACTGAAATATCATGCGTTAATATCATTCTATTGCATTTATGTCTCTCTCTCTAATATATCGGTATAATTTAAAATGCGATGATAAAGTTCGGCATGATTATCTTTTATGGTAGTGGAAATCTAAATCTCATTTTAAATCTTAAATTAGTAATCAGTTAGTATACTCTATTCAATTTGTTCTACATCAGACAGATCCTTAAAGAACAGACTCTGATCAGAAGTCAACTATATTATCGTCGGAACTAGAGCTACGAACCTTGGCTCACTTGCAGGTCAATGTCAACGACAAATATAAATTGGGAAGCAGCGTTCCTTCGGGCGACGTTCCGCAATAGATTGACAGGGTAGGCAACTTCATGACCGTAATTGATGATACTTGGCTGAAGTTCTCCCAGTCGGCGTGGAAGGGTCGAGCACTCAGCTAACGAAAGCGCTGGTGCCCCATGGTGACTATTTCCGCTCGAGGTCGCTTTCGAATGTAGTGGGTAAACCAAATGGAAGGTTACATTATGCCTGAAACAAAGCGGGTAGAAAAACATCCATTCATTAAATATTCAATATATAGCCATACCTGTGTCATAGTCGACAAAATAGCCATTTCTACTGCCAAACACCAGCTTGGCTTTGTACAGCTTTTCACATTTATTCATAGAACAAATTATGAGTTTGTTTCATCCAACCCTTTGCCGAGCCAGCTCTATTGAAACCAGCCAATACTCTGTTTCCAAATTCAACGACAAATGGTAGTCTTAATTATAATTATTACTATTGATACCCTACGAAAAATGAAGGTGTCTCTGGTCTCGAACTACCGCATGCGACGATATACGGCATACTAGGCAAAAAGCTACTCCAAAAAAATAGCCACCTAATTTACGCATTTATTACCGCTATGCACTGCTGGTACGGTTAATGCTGTTGGTATATCTAATTTTCTCGTTAAAAGAATACGAACGATGCATGAGTCTACATTGCTACGTCCCCCCGGGACCGGTAAGTCTTAAGTCCTATGTTTTAATCCTAGAAGCTTGCAAGACGATGCCACATATTAACAAGCGATTCTCACCTTTTCCAGATGCCACACTATCTTCTCTTGTTTGTAATACCACGTCAATCCCATTGTAGTCAAAGGCCATCAGGTTTGTACTGAGCTCGCCAAGAGCCTAAATTAGATTTTTTCTTTGGGAGGTTTCCTCGTCATGTTCCGCGACAGTGTTTATAATCAACGTGCAATTTCGTTTTGGGCGAACAGAGTACTCAAACCCATAAGGACCAGTCAACACAGAGGTTCACGTAAAAAAAAATTTTGAACAGTAATAACCTTCATTCGAAAACTCCATTGTCAGCTACTGAGGACTTCGACGATCTGACGGCGTACCGTACCACAATGTGCAGAAATTACACTGAATATCCCAGGAGGAAAATAAAATTACTTTAGAAACTGTGAGTCGAAATGACACGCTTTATTCAAAAGTGACCGCTGTAGTGCCCTCCACAACATAATGTTTGATATTTCTTTGAGACTGGGGCGAAGCTATGTAACGAGTACCCAAAGACCCATGATCAACTAGCAGCTATCCTGCAATAGGTACATGGTAAGTTACTTTTCATCGTGCAATCCTTACCTCGTAAAGGGTCCCATTCTAACGACGAGCCGCTGCCTCTGTTTCAAATTATGAAGCATACTAAAAGAGTCATTTACTCAGTCTTACGTATCGTCACTTAAGATTCTCTGACGCACGCATTTTTGCACTTTTAACTAGTTCAAAATTAAATAGTTTTAAGTTTCTCAGGTAAATGTGCATCTGCTTTATGATAACAAAAACGACCACGACAAAGCAGCAGCCTGAACGTGAGTTATATTACTATATGACAACCATACTATAAACAGTCGTCGCAGAAGAGGATATGTAGCAATATCCTCTTCCTCTGATGAACGCAATTAGTTGCTAACTTTTCGAGTGCATGATATAGATACATAGTTACAGCGTAACTTAATGTTAATCGGATGAATCAATCTCTCCAGTGGTCACTGGACAGCAAGAGGGATCTGTGGTAATTCCAAATCGCTGCTCGCTCGTGTCCATCGCACCGTTTACGGTTTATCTTAGTCGTCACAATTGAAACACTGACGCCGGAACGACGCTATCCCAGGCCCTAGGCGTAGCCAACATATTTTAGCTGCTAATCATATTTAATCCTTAATTTTTTCAGAACTTGTCACTTCTCTCTGCCGTAAACCCTTACAACTACCACCCAGAATGGCCCAACATCGAAGAAATATTGCCCTCACATCGGTGCATCATTATCTCTAACTCTAGTAATAAGTCTATTTCTTTTTTCGTTACAAAGCATCCTTCGTATATGTTTGCGGGCATCATGTATAATATACAGCTACCGATGTTGTACTGAAAGAAACTCTGGACGAAGCTAAACTGAAGTGCCTACAGGGCTATATTCTTATTTTCTTTTGGGTAACAGTCATTGACAGCTGCATTATAACCACTTAAAGCTTAATACCGGGCTTTTACACGAGCACTAAGCGAACTTATTGTATTCTAAAAAGGAGCTAATTTTTCAAAACGTGCACGCCTGCACGAACGACCTCACGAGCACGTAGTCTCGCTTTCATTGAATATAAGCGACCACCATCCGACTTAATGTTTTTACTCCACGCATGTTTCAACCGCTCTCAAACAGCCTGCCGACTATGTCAGCTGAGTAAATCACGGTAACTCTAAGAGTATGTTCGGACGTCGCTTCACCCCCTGAAGTCATCTTTATTAGCCTCATGAAAGAGGCACGCCCCATAGAGTTCCCGCCTGTTTTAACGATCAAATCTATCTCTATGTAAGTAATATGCTTATAGCGAACAATGACTATTGTACGTTCGTCATTGTGAAATACTTCAGCTAGTTCGAGGTAATAGCACTATACACTGCAGAAGCATGTGACAATTGTCATATAAGCATTGCGTGAAGCTGACCACGTATACCATCATTCATGCGTGCAATCCACAATTTGCTTAACGCTACGGAGAGAAGTTGGTAAAAGCTTTATGTAAGGTTCTGTAGTGATTCACCGGCGCTAGTTTTAGGCGTGTCTTGTCAGACACGTAATCATTTTGTTTTATTTGTATTATTTTTGTTGTTTTTTTTGAAATATTTTCTCGTAATAATAAAGTGCCACTTCGTCTAAAACGATTTGGCTTAAGAATAAGTTAACTTGAACAAAAAATGTGAGCAGAACACATCCTAATAGAACTGGATAAGTATCCTCAATAACATGTTAAATATAAGAAGTAACAAAACATGACTTGTGACGTTGAATTTGGTGAGTTCGAGAGTCCTAGGATCAAGTGCATAAAATGCCAACGCTCATTTGCAAAGATTGAAGTTACAGAGCTTAGCTGTTACTTCTTTTAACATACTATAATTACTCAATGATTATAATTACCGTAGAATTGCTCAGTCATTTGATCTGCTACTTGTTGTCAATACTGTTACGCTTTTTCTGTCAAACTTTACGTACGGGAATTAGACCTCAGTTAACGTGTCTCAGTAGAATATATAGTAGATTCCGCCATGGCAAGCAACTTCAAACACGGAGGAAGAATTGGAAGTTCGGTTATGCTGAAAGAGGGGTGATAATAAGGGCAGAGTAAACACGCAATAAATTCAACGAATTCCATCGGCATTAGCAGAGAACGCTTTGTCGCACTGTGATATTTCGGTCACTATAAATACTAATTGATACAGCGCAAAACGACAGGTACAGTACAAGCCATTTGCCCTGCAAACTAGTCAGGATTTTTTTAAAATTAAAAAATCTATTCCAAATCATCTCTTTTTGGATTTAGCCACTTGCCACCGACAAAAGTTTAATCGGAGTGGGTCTAACTAGACTTACCTGAAGTTTTTTCAACTGACCTAAGGAACGCCATGGCAACCCACAAGCAACTACTAATTTGACTAGCCGTTATGTGCATTGTACGGTACGTAGCGATAACTGTTGCATTGCCACTTTTTGGCACTGCAGCGGCTAAATATATTAATCATTATATATATTTATGAAATGCCAATCCCGTTGGATATATATATATAACAATCATGTAATCAAAAAATAAGCGTTAACCAAGCGTGCTTTGAAAACGAAATTACATATTTGAATGAATGACGATAGGGCCTTACCGGACTGCTGGGTAGCATGCCCGCAGATGTAGAATGGTTTCTATGAGATCTGGCAACTCTCGTCGTTTTGCAGCAAATAGGGCCACGGATATGGGCCCTTTCCATCGGGATGCCAACGAGTCCAATGACGATAGAGGCCCAATACTGCTCTGTGTCACAAGCGTAACGTCTCTTGTCAAACTACTGCTAATACCTCCTGGAACAAAAACGACGTCCGTTATAACGAAAATTTGTAAAGCACTTTTACAGCTCGATCTACGTCAGCAGCTACAGTAAGGCGCTCTAATTTAAATCAAGTACGACATGATCATTACGAGGAAACCATGCTATCCTTGCTTTTTACCAACTACAACAAATGTGTGCGACCAATAGGAGTCATATTTATGTTCTAATCTTTATGCCCAAGTCACCAGTGGAGCTTGGCAATAGGACAAAGTTTCATTGAATTTGTTTCTAAGTGGTATAGTGGTCCTTTGGGGTCAGCAGACTTAACTCATATGTGTGTCTTTAAACGAGACAGGCATATGTTAGCTTTTTTTTCTATGCCGATTCGAAATGCCAGCATCTCATTAATGAAATATAGCAAGGACCACTGTTATTGTCTCATATCGGCGTCGTTAGTTACCCCCTTTATCTCATTGCACAGAAGCATATCGGACTATTCTTGCCACAATTTCATCATGCTTTGCAAATGCGGAAGCCTAGCTGACTAACAAATTTGATTTTCCCTAATACTAATATGTCACAAATTAAGCGTCGCTAGAGTCTCTCTTCTACTGTGTCTACGTCATGCCACTTTGCCCTTGTACTAACAGCTATTCTTTGTCCTTTTTCTCCCGCATTCCCTTTTATGCTCTCTATACACAGCAACCCTCTGTCTGCTTAGCTTCCACAAGTCATCTTTTCCTTCCTCCCTCCGATTAAACTGGATCCAGCACTTCTTCGCTACGTAGCTACCTACCTAGGTAGCTAGGAGCGTAAACGTACTGCGGCAAAGACACTCCTCAGCACAACGCCCACAAATCTCGACCCGCTGCCAGCATCCAGCTCCCCGTAGCCTGCCTGAATTCGCTCAGATTGCCGTAGAACTCCCCTCCAGCAGCCTTGGCAAACCGTTGTTTTCTCTCCGTAGCAGCGGCTGCAGCAGGCGCAATGAACCGAACGCCATAATCTTTACCACTGCTCAAAATCATTTCCGGCCGCGCTCTTGTGTTCCTCTAGTCCGTTCCTAGCGGGTGGCAGCAGGGCGTGGAATAACTGCATCCTTCGTCCCGGCCAACACAAGCCTGGCCTGCTTCTTTCTATAACCACCGTCGACCGGTTGATGAGAGTGGTCGTGGGCGATACGTGGGTGCCTCAGCAGCACCTTCGCTACCGACAACAGCAGCCACAGTGTCAGCAGCGGCCGCATGAACAGAGTTCGCGCATCAGTGTGTGCGACTCTTCTCTCTGTGTGAGCGTGCGTTACTGTGTGAGCAAGTAAAGAGGGGCCACAGACGGTTAGCTCTCACTGCCAAAATGTAGCCTCAGGCGCCGCGGGGTCCCGATTCGTACTAGTCATTGCTCCAGCCACTGTCGCCAAATCGCTTCTGTTGCGTTTAACGCCATTGCGCCGTACTATTACCACGACTTAACTGGCTACTTCAGCCCGAAACGAGCGATAGGGGGCCCGGAGAGCAACGACTCGTAAAGCAGACGAGAGCTTTCTAACGCAAAGCGCAAACGGAGGGGACCTCACTTGTTTGGCGATCCCTCGCACGTTGGCAGCTTCACCGCAGACAGACAAAGGCAAACTATGCGTAGTTAGCCGCGCTGCTACTACAGTCGGCACTGCCAGTCCATGCCATTGTCCCGGTAACTCCACATGCACAGCAAATACATAGGAATATTATACAAATAGGTGTATTGTAGTGTCCAACTCCAAGTATCTCTCGCTCCTCATCCTGGAAGTGGGATATCTCTGCTTGGGGGTTGGCGGCTCCCTTCGGGCAGTTCCTGTCGGACAGAGAGAATGGGGAGAGGGGAAAAAGAACATACCGCGGTCTCATAGTCGGTAGCATAGGTAGCTTTTGTTTGCCAAGGCTCCGCAGGCGCCTACTCACACATGACGGCACACGGGAAACTGCTCGAAAAGGAATGTCGGTAATCATTGAAGTCATCCTCATCATCATCGCTACCTCGCGAACAGGATAAGACTACACTTCGTTGTCCTCTATTGGAACGCTTCATTGGAGAGCTTAGGCGGCCCACAACGCACAACACGATACGACTTGGCGCTACTGTTATCTCGACACATAACTAGTGTAGCGTTTTGCGAATACGAATAGACCTGGCCGTACATGATACCAGATCGGGAGGGTACGACGAACGTGACACAATGGTCCTATTTCATTCAGGCCAAATTATCGACTGAGACAATATTGTTTTCACACTGGTACGGCCTACCATTTGCTATCTTACGATTTGCTATGTATCATAGTAGAAAATATGTGCAAATTTTAACTGTGTAGGTCTCCTACTATATAAAGTATTTGCAAGGAAGACACTCTTGCGCTGACATAGCGTATATTTTGGTGCGACCTGTATTTGAGGGTATCAAGCGTAGTTTTCTCAAGCTGTCCTCCATTTCTCATAAGCCTTTTGTTGCTAGTACCCCGCTTACAGACATCGTTCTAACTGCCTCGTGCATATTTCCAACGGCACGGTCGGGTCTAACATCTCCCGAGAAAAGCAATTCCATCTTAACAGCTTGCCCTTCGAAATTTGGGCAGATACCCCTGGCAGAAAATCGTACGGTGTATTCAAAGGGCCCTAACGATATTACCATAGTCAGCACATTAGCCAGTTTTTGTTCTACCAGTTATATTTCATTCATAATAAATGCGTACGTTCACCACGTCTGCCGTGCCAAAGCGGTATTTGTGAACAGTTCGGGTGCACTAAAGAAAATGAAAAAGAGATCAAGCATGCTGGTACAAGGCCAATTGGGTATATAACGGAATACTTCAGCATACTATAAACAAAATACGTAATATATTCTGTTTTGTCAACATATGCCATAATGCGGATGTGGTTATGATTAAACCAACAATACAGGCCCACTAAATATCATCAAACATGTTTGATGTTAATTTTTGCACATATCGCAAGCAGTGTTTTTCCTCCTACTAAAACTACGAGAAAAAAGCCAAGCGTTCAAGTGTACTCGTTTTTTTAAAAGGTATTCTGCTTCTCTGTCTCTTCTGGCTATACATCCAGTTGCGCCTGTTTAAATTTATCACGTAATATCTTAAATTCACAAGCGGTTACATATGTACGTGTTCTAGGTTTAACGAGGTATGTTCTCATGATGCGTCCGTTCTCTACAGAGAAGCAGAGACCCGACGAGAGCGGGGGAGAGGTTCGAGGACTTTCGGCGTCCGCCGTCGTTGGGGTGTCGTTGTTGTTAGTCGACAGGACGGTCGTCCGACAACTAGAGTTAATGCTGCTTATGCTACTGCAAGACTAGCGTGATGGTACATAATTTGCCTCAGCTAGACGATACATATTGCACAAAGCCGGCGGCAGACAACGCCAACGACTACTTCGGCTACTATATTGCTACGTGTTTTAGTAGACGCACCCAACGCAATGGCCGCACGACTCTCGAGACCCTTAAGCAATGACCATCTCACTCACAGTCATGTATGATATATTAGAATACGTCCAATATAGGGATGAAGCGTTCTGCTAACTTGACCTCATTCCGTTAGATGGAAGGACAGTTTGAGCCAGAGGGAAACCGCGTGTATACGAATACTGTAAGCGGCGTTAGCCGGTTTCGCTACCCAAACACTCAGCGTACATCTTCTGTGTATTCGCCATATAGCAGCTGTCTTCCGAAGAACAAATCCTTACAAAACAAGAACATAGGGTTGCATTATGGATTAGCACTACCGTCGTGGAACGGTACGCGAGACGTATTGCGCACGATAGCGTAGACGGGTAGGGTGTAAAAGCGGTGTAAAAGGAGTGACAACAAAGAACGAACAGCAGCAGATAACGAAGCAAGCAATAAGCGACTGGTAGGGGGAGTTCTGTATCGTTTTGAATCGGACTAGATGGAATCATACGAGAACAAAGATTTTGATTCGACTAGAATAACTTCCCTAAAATTCTTCATTTAATCGCACGGTTTTCATCTATAAGATAGTGACACGGTGCAAATGTGCCATTAGCACGTTTACAGAAGACTGACCAATGTTCTCTTGAAAACCAAAAAACAAGGTAAATAGAAACTGCACAGGTATACGTGCACATAGGTTGAATAAAACGTAGTCAACGCTGATATGCACTTGCTTGATCGCTAGTGTCGGGGTTGAATACAACTCCGTCCATAGACCCATTATCCCACCATTTGGCGCCGGATGATCCGACGTGCTCGTAGTTAGCGTATTTCTCTTTCTTGGGTAAGCCTAGTTTTCATTGTATTGATCGAGACAGCGTCCTTCGGCCTCCACCGATTGGCGTACAATTATGCGACTGTCTACATGTACAACCTCCTATATTGACTGAGTATATCTCGGGCGAGTGGAACCAAGAAATTGCTAGCGTTTTTATACTTTTGCATGCAGCTCCACGCGCTCCATACGCCACGTTCTTTGTCATTAGCACTACAGCCGCCGCCATACTGCACGGCGCCATGTACCTTGGCCAGTGTACCGTGGCGTCGAAAGAAAATGACTTCACTTATCGAGTACTATCAGGGTCTCTCATTGATCGACTGGCTGCTCTGCTGTCACCATCTGTATCCTTGTAGTGCTTTTGGCCGATATATTGTATTTCGACCGCAGTGATACTATGTGAAAATTGTGCTGAACATATGCGTGCTAATAAGGTCGTGGCCACAGAAAAATTGCTTAGTTCCACCAAATCAGTTTGCAGTATGCAATGTAATAGGCGGCAAACGTGACAGACGACCTCGGATTTGTAGTTACGGTAGTACAACCTCGACAGCTGTGAAGTGCGACCACTCTTCGATAAACCCAGGCAATGCAAGGCATGAATTTCAAACTTGAGTCGCATAAAACGATATATATTTACTTCAGTAACAGCTTTACGCTCTAGCTAATGCGTTCAGCTTTAGATAACTTACTAAGCAACGGTTAGACGAATCACAGTAATTTTTTCGCAAATTTTAGTTTAGGATGAAATGCTTCAGCACTAGTATACAACAATTACCTGTAGTCTGCAAGAGTCTGCCCGGGGGCGCTATGATTTCCAATAACCTGCCTTAGCTTCCACTAACTTGCGACACATTAGAGTATAAACTAAGCCTTTACTGATGAGCTACGTTAACTAATAATTGTTGTATAATGTTGTCAAGTAATATGTTAACTTTTCCGTGTGCGTAAACAGTCTCACCTTTGTAGTCACGCCGACATATCGAACATTTGAGACCAAATTAGCCCTGGCCCACAGCAGACCCCCACTCGCCCCTTCGCATGCATTAGCTTCGTTGGCTAGATGCACAACAATGTGCTCGTTCGAGGGTTGTTCCGGGGGTGTCGAGTGGCTAAGGGAATCATGGGCTTAAGCGGGACAATACTTTAGCTATCCATTCAGGTTGCTCGCTCAGTTAGCCAAATAGCAAGTTTATCTTTCAATCATGCGTTTATTGTCACTATTGGGGCTTCGGCAAGCAGAGCAACTGCGAACGCACACGAATGTCACCACTGAACACGCGCACATCGGGAAACAGCCTCGTATACTACTGAACTGTAGCTTCTGGCTTACAGCTTCTGAAGACAATTGTAACACAGTTCAACAGCATTTTTGACATAGGAACGAAAAACTCTAATAGCTCAAACCATTTATATAGGCACTGACATGTACGTTGCTTGTTTCAACTCGTGCGCACTCGGAGAGTAAGGAATCAACACTTGAGTTTACTCCACTGCGACCAAGGTCGGAAATAAAGTGAAACAGGTTTCGAGCATTCGTTTTTACCATTGGCTTCATGATTGTCTGCCACCTATTCTTCAATCAGTAAGAGCAGTAGCTACACGTTCGTGGAATTTATTTTTCGCGACTTCAGTTTACTCGAGGTGAATCGCAGTTGACAGTATTTGACCGACAACGTACGGGTACAATTACGTATTTAGGCCCGGCCTAAATTTCAAACTTGGTCGGCTATCCTGTACACACTAGGGCATACACGCCGTTTTGGGGTCCGAAACGAAAGTCGAAGTTGTAACTCGTCTGAGCAAGGTCAAGTAGAGAAACACGGTGTGCTTTTAGTGAAGCAAAGAATGTAAGAGTGGAACTCATGCAATATGTATGTCCAGCGTTTACATTAGCGATAAACTAAGGAAAATCAACCTAAAGGTAGAATGACAGCTACTTCTAAAATATCTATTGTTAAGCAACAATGTCGTACGAAGTATATGTAAGCTAGTAAATGAAGCTCTACTGAGTTGTTTTCTAATCGGTCCCTATAAAAATGAATCAGTATCTATCTATACTGATTCGATGTAGTCTATGCTTTTTCGATCTATCGCGTACGTTGCGTCGATGACAGCAACCGCAAAAGCACAACCTTAAATGACAAATCTGGCACTGCCTCATAACAATTCTGGTATTCACATCGCACATGCGATCCTCCGCTGGTCATGGTCGCTGTAATACATTAGCGAAGCTAAAGTCTGAAGCTAAAGGTTGATCTGGCGAAATAGTAGGGCTACCGTCAGGTAATATTTAGCTCTATAGAATTTAAAAAAGAAACTAGGCTTTTAAGTATGAAAACTTCGACTTATTGTAAATCAAGTACTCCATAAACTGTTTCTTATCCGCTTTTTCAGTATGAACCCATTGTTTACAATTGCAAACCGTAAACTTACAGTTGTTTTTTCTTTTCTGTATAGATAAACCCAGTTCGAACCCAGAATTCGAGGAATGGCTAGTACCTAGCATTTCCTTCTGGATACTTGTTTGCCTTGATGAGCTCACGTGTATACATTCCAACTCTCTATGTGTAGCAAGTAGAGTCCTTGTTATACGAGCAATGTTCCAAGATTCATTCAGGTCTGATGGATTGGTGCCTATGACTATATGCTAGACCGTTCAGTCTATAAGCGAGAGAATTGCCCCGTTCTTAATGAAATTATCATCGTGGCCAATACGGGTACGAGACCATACAGCCTATACGAAAGCGGCCAACCGAATGGCATCCGCATTCCTCAATAATTGTCTACAGCAAAGGTAGGCCATTGGCGGCAGCCCTGGAGATCACTAAATTGGCATATAGTATAGGGCAAACACTTCTTTCCATACCAAGGGTACCGTTGTATTGTACACTGGTCAATTCAGTCTATGCCCTCTCTCAAGGGTTTCATGCCAATCAGAGTTTCTGCAAGAGAGGAAAGCAGCTAACGCGTTGAGCTAGCACCGTTATAACTGCAAGTATACGCCATAGTTGCCAATTACCAAGAATATCAGATGCAGACTGCGAACTTTTCTCGTGACTACTAACTCCAATCTTTTATTTTCTATTTCCATCACTATCCATAAACCAACTAGTGGAAATATTATTTAGTTTGCTATGCGAACTACTCTGCGCCATAGTGGAAATTAAAAAAAGTGGACATTTGCTGCCTTAGCGCATAGTCGTGATAAGCTACCAGCACGCAAATTCATCGAATACGTTTGAGTTATAGTTTGGCGCTAAGGAAAAGAATGTTCGTATAATGGTCTTCTGACAATCGATATTGTACCAAGTAATTTTCAAAAAAGGGCGCGAATGGTAAGAAACTAGCTAAGCGCTTCGTACTGCGTGCGTGCCAAGCCTATAGCTGTTTTGGACGTGTGCCTGTCAACATGCTGTTTGGTATTTTACCGCGATACAACGCCCTGAGCAAAATCAAGGACACCGTATAGTGGCATGTATCTGTTGGCAAGCGTATCATGATTTATAGCTGAATAACCCTTTGGTTAATTAAGAAATAACATTCAGCCAGAGGCAAGATTAATAGTTGCCTCAAAAATAACGTATGTACCTGTTAGGTATCAAGAAACGAAGTTTTGTTAGAAGTAAGATTTTGTCACAAAACCAACAACAAACACCAAAATATGTTATTTATCTTTCTACTGATCAACAACCTGCACTGTTTTTTAACACACAGTGCTCTTATCCTATTCACTTAATCCAATTGGTCAGACGATCATCATTCATCAGAAAACTGTTTAGATAACTACGAAACTAAAGTTCACATTTGAGTCGGACGATTTCATTGACTATCATTGTGAACTATGTGTAGAAAGCGGTATTTCGTTGTTTTATACTAACCTCTAGTATGTTCATTTGACGTTGACGGCAACATGCCCTGGGTAGCTCCTTGTGTTGTTAACTGAGGCTGTTGTTGTTGTTGCTGCTGCTGTTTAGGTGAAGCGGATCCGCCCTGTGCCGACATCGTTCCCCGCAACGGGGGAGAAGCTGGCTGAAAATTCGACACGAGACTGAACTCTCCAGAAACGTCGAGCACGGCAGATTCTTCGAGAACATGCAACATTCGCGCACGATCATCCGACATTTCCTGGACCCTATACTTGTCGCTTCCCCAATCCTAAACAATAAGAGAATACGGCAATTCTTATAATATGGTCATACATGCGTTAGTCTTAAAACCTAGGTTAAATATAAAAGTATTTCTCCTAACTGGGCCCTTCCTTGTCATCGACAACACTTGTTTGCTAAGTTCTACTGTTTAACATCATTTAAAGCGAGTGATTGCCCTACGATGCTATTGCTTTGGCATGGGCTATAATATAACAAGCTTAGTGATATGCACAGATTCGTCATAGCGAACACGCATATGCGCATCCATCCAAAACATGATAAAGCAACACGCAGGATATGACCGCCGATGGTTCTTTCCACATGGTGAAAATAGAAGACATAAAACGAGAAAACATGGTATTCTACTTAAAGGTACACATATGCACCCGTTTATTGGTTTGCTTGAATATAAACATTTGTACTCCATTGTAATCCCTCTGAGTACCACCTAAAAGCATTCTCACTATAAGCTCGTCATCGTAATTATTTATATATATATATATTGTAAATATTTTGTTGCTGAGGAAAAATGCTTCAGCAGTTCGTTATTTGACCGTTTTCTATTTCTAATGTGAATTCAATAACGACGCAAACGTCAGCGTAGTAACACGATTCAGTCAAAAAGCATAGAAAAACGTAAGGATGAGTTCGATTTTGCAATGAAGCCAACGCAAATAGCCGCTTTAGCTAGAAGATTACGCGAGCTAGCTTGAGTAAACAATAAGGCTCGTTTTTCAGACGAACGTGCCCCTATGTAAGTGCATAGTAGAATATGTCACCCGTCCTTATTAGACGTTGGATTGATCTTCTTACCCTCGCTATATATATATATATATATATATATATATATATATAGCCCTTGAGCGTGGGCGGGCCAAAGCAGTATCAAGATTCTTATTATACTAAGATTATTTCCAATTGTAGCGTTTCCGTTATAGCAGCATTTTTTAGGCACCCTTGAATGTACTTTGAGAGTCTGTGCTAACGATGTGACGCATTTGTTTCGGACGGGCAATGTCCAAATTTCTTGTTAGATGCTTTTAGAACAGTTCTCTGAATTTTCAGACGCTTGTCAACTACAAACTTCATAGCGATTCCTTATTATTGTTTCGCTAAATAGGTTCACATACGATTTCAAAAGAATATCGAAGAGCAAATACCACTGTAATACTATGATAGTTTTTTTTCTCAAGTAATCTACGACAGCAGTAAAAACTCCTTTCATTCACAAAAAATGCCTTACAGTCTATCATGATTTGACTTTCCTCACTTCCTCATGTAAATTCCGAAGCAATGTCAATATATAATCTACTCGTGTTCTAGCGCGAACGGGCATCGTGGCCTGTGGCGTACTGCGCCTCGCAGCTCGGCCTCTATAGTTTTAGTTGTCTTACGTGTACGCCCTTTGATACCCTATTTTTGTGCCTCCCCGTTTTTTCATCGCACTAATCGTCGTCATATTAGTCACGATACTCAGCATTTATCAGTATCATGAATCTACCTACCTTCCTTTGTTGTGCCTTTTCACCCACATATACTGGTCGGGGCGCGTTGACAACTGCCCAAAAAGCTAGCGATACGAACCCAGAGCAGGTCGCATTAATATGATGGTAGGCGTCGAAAAAAATGATAAAATCAGTAGTACTAACCTGGGAGGCAATAAGAACAAGAGTAAATAATCTCCGACCGCGTCATATTCCCTCTCAGGCTCGAATAACCCTACTACAGGCATTAAATGAATATGTACTCGATCGCCTGTAGGGATCAACCATCACAACAAGAATCCAACTAATTATCGAGAGCATCACTGGGGATGAGGCCCGTAATGGCGGCGTCAACTTTGGCTACCGTTATAGCTATTCCTATGCCGCTGCCAGTTCACTTGTGCGCGCTGCTGATAAAACTGACCATGGGGAGATATGGGAAAGGGCGTAAAAGACTGTCAGGCCAGACATCCTGGACAAAATAAATAGAACGAAGCCCAACAACAGGACCAGCAGCGGCATCCGTCGGTAATTGAATAAGGGAAACACGACGTGAATGTGCGCACGAATAGCAGCAGTAAGGCCTGCGGCAGAGTCAGCAGAAGCGATGTTCCTTTGCCGCCGGGTTAACTACTACGAGTTGAGAATTAAACCGATCAACAATGACGAGGAAAAGCGCTAGCTGGAACGGAGGCCAATACTGTGCGTCAGGCCTTTGTTGCAGTCAAGACTGAACCGATAAGCTGGAATATGTGCCAGCGAGGCGTAGAAGGAGAAAAAATAAGGCTTTAAGTTGAACACAGTTTAGGCCTGTTCGATAGGGCCCGACTATTACGGTCACCTGCTCATCGTAAATCAGCGAGGAAGCGTCGTAGCTTTGTTTGTAGATCAAATATTGTCACAAAAAAAAAGACACGTAAACTGGCCAAGCAACAGGTGAAACCAGCCTAAATGGCTATAGCTGAAAATGCAGTGAAGTACCTATTAGAAACCGAATGAACAGAAAAGAAAATGTCGCGCTCGCATCAGTTCCATATGTATTATATAGCTTAAATGACGCCAAACAAACGGAGAACAAAAATTAACCTTATATAGGCACCTGCAGGCCTGGCCGTGATAAAAAGGTAGACCATAAAAACAGCTTCGTTGGTGGGGTTCGTCGAGGGTGTTCGGTCATACTCAAATCCGAACATTACACAACTACCGCAATGACGCTATCTCGTGTATCTATAATGACGATCCTTTATCGATCTGCTGAAATCAATTCTGTACTGTCTATTCGTCTGAATTAACGAATCAGATGACCAATGCCTCCACTCTAGACGCATATAATTACAATTGCGTCTAGCATTCCATCTCACACTGGTTTACAGTAAAGATACGCCAGATTAGCGAATGCAATAACGTAACGTCCTTTTTTTTGCGCCTTAATTTCCACCAGCGAGGGTGCATTGAACTAACAATTCCAACACGATAATAATATTTAGACTTCGAACTGCTACTACTATGTGTAGTTTTATCAGCTCAATTTTTTAGTATTTAGTAAAAAGAAAGAAATTGAATGAATTTTTCTCAGCTTAGAGAGAATGTTCCAAAACACTTTTCGGAAAAGGTCCAGGCTCAAATGTTATATTTTCACAATCCGAGATACGCAATCGCACGCGCTCCCTGCAAGTCCGTACAAGAAACGCAACTGACAACAAAATTTCATAGCAAAGTGGATCTGAAGAAGTCAAATCTAGCAATCTCGTGAACAAGGCCAATAAGGCTGACAATATAAAACGACTATAGCTAGTATGACATCACGGCGCTGCAGCAGTATCATGGTAAAATTATGATCCATAAAAATGAGATTACATGTATATATTTCTTGCGAATGTCAACTAAAAAGAATCATTGTTAGTAGAAGGAGCTAATGCTCAGCTTTGTGAAACGGAATGGAATGGTGGATGGGGTCAAGCGAGCGGATTTTAACTGAGAAAAAAGGTGAAGCACAAGGGACAAGCATAATGCACCACAGTCAGCGTCATCATATGCGGAACCACGTTCAGCCTGACTTATATTGATTATAACGATCATTACATTGAATTAAAGGCTTTCCTTATACCTTTGGCCAGTGCTGGCAGGGCTATAACCTAACTGTTCGCGAAATTCTTACAGTATAACTAGGTTTCAATCTTTGTTGACAGAACACACAGGGTACGGAGTCTTCTTTCCTTTTTTCAGACACAGACAAATAAAGGTAAACAAGCAAAGCTGTATGTAGTAACGGTATGTTACTCAAAACCGATTCGTCCGAAAATGTGTGTTGTTTTTCCGAATGCCAATAGCTCTGAAAGGCAAAGATTGCACGATCCACGTATTAACAGGTTACTCCTGCAAATAGAGTCTTTTAAACTGCTAATCCAATTTTGTTTGTATCTGTTATTTACAACAGCCACAGTCGCTGGTACATACACTTTTTGTGTAGCTAGGTTTGTTCAAAATTCGAAATTAGTATATTATGCAGCTCAAATACATGCTAGCTCATACGCATATATCGAACTGTCGTGCACTTACTTATGACTGACTACATAAACAAACTGAACAACTTATTGGTTTTATAAGGCTGACGTTGATAAAATACTCATTCATATCCAGCTAGACCTGACAATTTTTCCGTTGCAAACGGGTACATTGCACGACGACCTTATGTTTGTTTACTTTACAAAGTTATAGAATAACTTTGTAATAATTTTCCGTCCTCATAGAATAAGGACGAACAATTTTGGAGCACGGCCAGCATTTAGCGAAGCACTAGGCCTTATCAGTGGATGCATGCGAATAGGAAGCGCTAGTTTCAAATATCATCGATTGGCTTCAAGTATACCCTTTTATGCACTGACGCAGAAATTTCCAGCGACGCTTTTTGGGGGAAGCTTTCGATTTTCCTGTAAAGATTCTTTAAAAGCGCTCTAAAATTCGGAGGGCTCAAAGTCGCAAACACAATGCATCGAGTTACTAACCTAAATTGCATTAAAAGTTTGCTGTACGTGATCACGTACTTTTCATAATCAGTTGTTAAATATCCAGTTATATATATCGGTCAAATGCTCGTAAGCACTATTACTATGAATGCTTTCGTTTTCCAGCACCGATATTCAGTTTTTAGCCCAACACAAACACGAAACAATGTTGAGTTCTTACATTGAGATATGTATGCATGTTTTGTTAGTTGAAATTCAGATTAGCTCACTTGTACCAAAGAAACTGTTATATGCTTTTGCCGAAATCAAGCAAAGCAACTGTTGTTGCAGATCTAATAGCCCAGCTCGGTCTGGTCTCGTACACAACACACAGTTTTATCGACCAACTCCTTATAATAAGGAAATATACCTGTTCAACGAACAAAAATATTGCCCACAGTTAGTATTTTCGTGTACTAGCTCAGCCAAGCACTCGTCAGAGTACTGCTGCTACCGGCTGTAACACCTAATTTTCGTATGCTGTTATCATCATAAGCTCTCCTTTACAACTCTGTCTG